GGAACACTGTAGTTGTTCAATAATGAAATTCATCCTCAGAAATAACAACTTGCCTAATAATTGAGCACGCAGTGTATGTATTCCCATAGGAATTTTTATGCAGAAAGTTTAAACTGATTTTTTCATCATGAGGCATTGGCCACAACAGATATGACATATAAGCATTCTTCAATTAGCAATTAGTACCTGCACTCCAAATATAAATGTTGTCAATTAAACAGGTCCTGCATCAGGCACAAATTGAGAGATGATGATGATGGATGATGATGATGATGATGATGATGGCATAAGAATAACTGTATAGCTATGCTGACTGCAGAAAAGTGTTACTTAATTGCATAAATACTTCGATTTAATGAACACCACCCGCTCCCACTATTACTATGTTGCCAGATTCTGCCAACAGCAATACCCACATTTGCAGCTCATATGCAAAACCTAGTGTTATTGTTGTATATACTTATTGCAACCAAACCAAACCTATATTTCTATAGAATAAAGCATAGCTGACATTTAATGTTCTGAGATATTTTCAATTTCTGAAAGGGATCCTGAAATTCAACATCAAGAAAGCACAGGAGTGCATAGAAACCAAAAACCTCAACAAGCAAGTGAAATCAACATAGAATCACCTTTGCATTTTTAAATGTATACTGGAAGTTTCTTATCTGTAGGCACAAGATGATGCACAGAGTGTGTACAAAAAGCTTCAGCAGACTAATTACACCAACACAGCAACTTTTCTTTCCTTTAATTGCACCCTAATAACTCCACATCAACAAGCAAAATAGATAAAGATCAGACAACAACTACACCGCTCTAAAATCAAGATTAAAAAATGAAACACCGAAGAGGGCTTGCTTTAGTGGGCATGCAGACAAAATATACTCAGCAGCATAAGCATCAGCTATAGTGACTCTAGCATAATCACAATCCCTCATAGCACTCTTGATCTTCCTTTCATGGTCTTTCATCAAGAGAAGTTATATCTGGATTGGCTACTGATTTAGACATGTGCTTAATTACCTGCCATTACTTTGCTCCAGCATTTCTCCCCTGTTAAAATTAATATTAAACTTAGAAAATAAAACCCCAGTCACAGGATGCAGGAAACACTCAAGTTACTGAAGCAATACTTGAAACAGTGCCGATCAAAAAAGTTGAGTTTTGTTCCATTCTCAAATTAAACTCTCAAAATGTTCTCAGATAGGGGTATTTTATTTCAAGAACATGTTGTTTAATCAGCTGTTTCATAATCAAACTGGTTCCCATTGGAATCATTTTGCACATCCCTAATTATTCAATATTTTTCTAAGAAAAGTATATCCTTTTCAAAATTAGTGTCTTAAGTATTTTTATTCTGCATGGAATTCCATGTTTAAAGTTTTGTTAAACAATTCCACTCATTGTTATGCAATTTAAAAAGGGGGGAGACTTTAAATATTTTTTTCTGCTTTTGGATATGTGTGTACATGTTTTATTATACACGCATAGGCTTCTATGCATTTTTGTGCTCTTTATTTAGAATAAAATACAATTGATTAGCTGCATGGTGTTTTTAATATATTATGGGTTCTTTTTCCTCCTCTTGTATGCATGCTTAATGCATTATGTTACTGGCAGTCAACAGACCACAGGGCAGCTTGGGACCCCCATCAGGCCAATCCCCATCACTTGAGAGCTCACCTGGCAGCTGACAGACATGGTGGCTCGGTACAGGTATTTTTTGTTCTTTGCATGACTATTTCCACATCTTAATCTCTTTGGACAGGCATGGCATGTGTCTAGTTTCCACTGAAAATTCACTTCTAATGATGTCCATAATTATATGTCTTCTGTTATAAAAGCCATAATGAAAAATCAGACAAAATTTGATTTTGTTTCTACGAGTGCTTGTAAAAGAATAGCAATCTGGATTTTGAAAAAAACATATTTGGATGACTGCTAGATAATAAAATTGTCATTGAGTGATGTGTAATGGAAATGGCAGTGCCATTAGAGCTTCAGATGATTGCTGACTACTAGTAATATTTTGATCATACAAATCACCCTTTATAGTAACGATTTCTAGACCATACTTAATGTGCCTTTATGCTTATGATTGAAAATGATACTGCTATACCTGTTGTCATAATAATCTGTTGGAAGTGTAGTGAAATCCCCCCCCCCCTTCATCTCTCTGGCTGTTGAACTTTATAATTGCTTATTTACTATATAATGCATCTCAGATATATTATGCCTGTGTAGCTGTTCATCTCCCCCAAAACAGTAATTGAAAAACAAGTTTACTAAATCCAGTAAAAGTTTTTACAAGCCTATATAATGTAAAAAGGGCTCATGTAACTATGCTTGTATAAATTTGTGCAAAAGGAAGAAGCAGATGGAAAGTTCTCTGTCACCCCACTCCACCTTCTCTGTTTAAAATAAGGATTTGGATAATTTCCTGCTGCTTTCCCAGCAGTTCTCTTAGTCCTTTGATGTCCTTTTTTTTTTTGCTTCTGCCAAAAGGCTTATTTCATTTTTTAACATTAATATCTCTCCATTGCTAATTAAATATCTTTCTTGAATATTTTTGAATGGCTATGTAATAATTTCAAATCACCCAGACCAAAAAAAAGGAGGTATATTTGGAGAATCATTTGTCTAGCTGTAGTCAAGATTGGCTAGTCTGCTGTTGTCTCTCATACTTGACAATAATCTAATTTCCTATATTAAATTATTTTAATTTGCATCTGAGACAGGATCAGTGATTTAGGATTAAGCCATAGATATAATGCTTTTCTGTTGTGCTTTGTTGAAAGAAAATAAAGCTGCTTAATTTTTTTAACCTGCCCATAATTCCTAAGTAAAAGAGGTATGTGCATTGTAACTAATATTGAAGTGTAACATTGTCTTCATGGAAATGTATTATTTTTGTTCTTTATTTTGTTCCTCTAGGATATCTTTTAGATTGTAGTCTTCAGCTCATAGTCTTTTAAAAATGCTTCCAATTAGTTAAATTTTTTTCATGGTTCTTTACTACAGTTTTTGGAAAACATGTTACAAGTTTCTTTAATACATGTTAAAAGCATGCCAGAAAGATTATTTAGTTTCTCTTTTGTGACTTTCTTACCTTTTTCAACCTTCCATAATCACTTTCTCAACCTTTCATAATAGGTATAGGGAATAATTGTCATTTTGCACTGTGAGTGGGAATCTAGTGCAATTACCAGGACCTATCCTATATTATTGGGAACATGGAGCTATATCCTGATAAACATAAGCTATTTGCCACAGTTTCTATTACAGATAGTACTTGACTTACAACCAAAATTGGGTCATTGCTAATGGATTGCAGTCGTTAAGTGAGTTGCGCCCAATTTTATGACCTTTTTTGCCATGGTTGTTAAGTGAATCCAACTTCCCCTGGTTGACTTTGTCAGAAGCCCCCTGGGAAGGTGTCAAATGACCATGTGACCCCTGGGATGCTGCAACCGTCATAAATACATGATGGTTGCCAAGCGCCTGAATTTTGATCACATGACTGCAGGGATGCTGCAACAGTCATAAGTGCAAGGTCCAGTTGTAAGTTACTTTTTTCAGCACCATCGTTACTTCAGTCATTAAACAAATGGTCATAAGTCAAGGACTACCTGTAAAGACTGTCAGTGATGACAGAAGAAAAAGTTCATGTATGTTTTATTTTTTGTCCATTTTGTTCCTGGTAATGAATGGACATTATGCATTTTTTCTTTAAAATACTTTCCTAGCATTTAGGATATTAATCTACATTACTAAATTGGCAATGATAAAGCAGTTAACATCTTATTACTGATTCTCCATTTTTCTCTCTTGCCTCTGAGTTTAAAGTGCTATGCTATAGGCTTGATCCCATATTAAAAAAACCCCTAAAGCAGTTTGATTGGTGCAACAAACAAGCAACACATGTGCATTTGTTTTATTTATTTATACAATTTATATAGCCACCCATCTCACTGCAGTAACTTTGCTTCCCATAAACTATTGAAGAGATCCTTAGTTCCTGTAAGCAGCATGTAATTTGTTGTTAGCAGTCACTACCTAGCCTCCTAGATCCATGTTCTGTAACCATTTGTCTTAGTTCCTGAAAATGTCAACTGAATAGCATGAGCTCTTTTTTCACATTTGCAGCAACTTGAAACACTTGTGAAAAACTCTTTAAATTATATTTTTCAAAATATTTTCCTTTTAGCAGAATTATCCAAGTCTAGCTGATTTTTGTACAAGTCTATTTCAGACTCCCTAATTGTGTTTTTTTTAAATAATATTTTAGACTTATGTGCCAATTTTAAGATTCACATTAACTTTGCATGGACAGAAAGAAACAGTAGTAGATTATGTAAATTGTTGTGTAGAAATACTAAATATTAGTGATGGTTTATTTAACAGTGGACTGTGCCAAAGAGCTTTAACATTTGAAATAAATATGTCAGTGCAAAGGTTAGTTTCAGAAATTGAGAGATTATTATATATTTTTACACAATATTCAGGTTGAGTTTAGTTTGGTGTAATGGTTAAGGCATCAGGCTAGAAACCAGGAGACCACAAAGCCAGCTGGGTGACTTTAGGATAGTCACTCTCCCTCAGCCCAAGGAAGAAGGCAGTTGCAGATCACTTCCAAGAAAACTGCAGGGACTAGTCCAGGCATTTGCCAGGAGTCAAAAACTAACTTGGAGGCACCAAATGAATGAATGAATGAATGATGTACCATGTGAAGTTCTTAAAAGAAAAAGTCACGTTTATTATATGTGTATTATGAACTCTGTCCAGATCTTACATAGTTTGGGAGGGCATGTAACAAGTAAAGCCAAGATTTTGATGCAGTGAAAGGCTTAAGACAGTGATGGTGAACCTATGACACCCATGTCAAAGGTGACACACCATGAGGTTTTGGGTGACACGTGTTGCCAAAGAAACTGGGTTTGTTTTACTCCTATTTCATTTTTGTAATTGTTTGATGTTTCTTTATATAATACATAGCACCACACATGGTTGGACTGTATTTTTTTTTAATAAATGAATATATAAATAATTGTTTCTCTTTTGTTTGAGGGGGGGTGACACCCAGCAGAGTCGAGTTAGGCATTTTCCGAATTTTTGACACGCTGAGCCCAAAAGGTTCACCGTCACTGGCTTAAGAGGAATAAAAACTAAAGAGTTATGAAATGCTTGGCACTATGTTACCTAATTATCTTGTCTTCCCTCTCAGTGTTACTTTTCCTGGGTGTATGTCCTCATTCACATTATCTTACCCAGGATGTTCATATTACTGATTATGATAGAATGTTGTTAAAGTTGCACCTGCTTCATACACATTTTTATTGATTGATTGATTTAACTGATTTCAATAGATTTATGGCAGTTTATTTTATCATATGCAATTGAAAAGTGGATGCCCATCTTTCTGTGCAACAGGATTACTTTCTTAATAAGAGCAAATGTTTATTAGTTCAAAGTGTGGCTGTTATCAGTCAATCAATCTTATCTATCTCTATGTAGAACTAAGTGCAGTTCATTGAATTTATTCCAGGGTAGCTATTCCCAAGGATTTATTCTAGGGTGACTATGTTAGGATTACAGTCTTTTGTATTACTTTCACCTTTTTTGTAGGTGGCTTTCTCTACAAGCAGTTGGAGAATGATTAGTAATAGAAATGCATGATGCTTGAATAGAAAAAAATGACTACGCCTATGAAATAATATGTTGATACACTAATTACAACTCCTTGCTCTCATAGTAAACCAGTATAGTAAATGTGGGCAATTATTATTTCATAATTTTTGAAACTGCTTGCCATTGCAGGTTGTAAGCTCAACAAATGGAGAACTCAACACTGATGATCCTACTGCTGGCCGTTCAAATGCACCCATCACAGCCCCTACTGAAGTAGAAGTTATGGATGAAACCAAGTATGTATTGCCTTGAAATAATCTCTTTGATGACACCACATTTTATGAGATTGAGTTTTCCAGTTGAGATTCCCATGATACTTAGTTCTTAACTGTAACAAGTAATTCATGAAGCCCTTAAACAGTTTTTGTTTTTTACTTCTAAGAGACAGAGGGAGTGTGTGCAAGAGAAATTTCATTTACTTGTCTATAAAATGGTTTCTTAGTTGAAACTATTAGTCTTTCCAGGCAGTACAATTTCCCCACAATGTATTTCAGATAGAATGGTAGTATAAATAACTTGATGGATGGGTTTATGCCATTCTGAAGCTTGCTGCTGTCTACAACAGCACTCCATTCAGTGATAAGCAAGGAAGAAATCGCATTTCTCTGAACTTTTAAAAATAATGTACAAAAAACTTCCATTCACAGTACAGATGTTTCTCAGCCAAAGGGTGCAGCTTTTATACATGAAAAGGCTCTTCAGAATAGTTCATTTCCCCCCTTCTGTGGTGCACCAAAACTCTGTAGGGAATGGGAAGTTTGTGTACATACAACCATTTAGCCTTCCTTTCTGTACTGCAAATGAATCAAGATCACCATGTACAAAGGGTGGTGTTAGTGGTAGACACAGTTGGATTTTACTGAGACTATTTCAGCCTCTGGATGTGGTTCTATCCCATATTAAAATAGCCAGAAAGAATTATGATCTATGCAACAAACAAGTGAGCAAGACATGCAGAAATTCCTAAACTACAAGCTGAAATATGAAATAGAAGTATTATAATGTTTTCAGTGACAATGTTGGTTTGCTTAGTTTGTTCTACATTAATTTCACTGATGTTTCTGTCTTACTCATTACTTCAGTATTTGATTATATGTTCAGATATAACTTTTTTTTACAATATACAGCATTCTGATTTGTTTTTCCTTCCTTGTATTTTCCTCATATTAGCTGCCAGAAAGTGTTGAACATGTGGTGAGTTCTAAAGCACAGGCAGGCAGAAATAGCTCCAGAGCATTTAAAAACAAAAGTACAATTGGAAAAAACAAAGCAAAATAATTTTAATGGTTTTTAATATTGGTCGTCTTTAACACAAGAAACTTGCTAGCTCATTGAGGAGCACTTTTGCCTGCTTCAATTCTTGCTTGTTTTGAAGTGATATAGACTTGATGTATTTTTATCTAATACGTCTGAATTTATGCTTTAATTTCAATTTATGCTTTAATACAGTTGTTTTGCCCATCGATTTGCCATTTTAAAGGGAAAACAACAATTTCAGGTATTTTAACTTCCACAGTAATACCTTAACATGATAAATAAAGTATTTTAATTGCCACTAAATTACAGTAGATATTTTCACATATATTTACTGAACTGTTAGTGATTGGTAATTATTTGCTAACTGATATCTCAGTCAGGGAACAATTACTCCTCTCAAATTTGTACTTTAGTGCATTTTCACATTTCAGTAATTGTACTCATCTCAAAATGCAGTCTCTAAACATTTTCACCTTTAATTTATTATTGGCAAGTTTTAGTTTTGGATAGAATGACGAATTTTCTAAAATGGTGATTGATTTTATCTAATTTCCTAATGCTGATAATTGCATCAGAACGATCTTTATAAGTTATTTTATGTTTTAAATAATCTAATATTTGGATATGATTAATGAATAAGTCATATTTATTGGTTTGGAAAAAAAACACCCCCCTCTTCAGCCCCTCTCTCCATAACTTCTTATCACAATTTATTAAAAGTTTATTTCCTCCAGTTTTCAATCTTAAATGCATGATATAAACAGAAAAAAATACAGGAGGGACTAGTGGTTTAAGAAACTAATTACTAGTTCCTGATCATAATGACACAAAACTAACAGAAACATATTATAAAACCATAACTTCAAATATAATAATGTATAAAATGTTGCAGTAAAGCTGCAGAAAGCACTTTCAGTGGCAGTAATGTCAAATAAAGCTAGTAGTCCTCCTAATAAGTTAATATACCTTCATTTTGAAGGAGGATCCTGGAAAGACAGTGATAATATATCCTAGGATATCTGTACCTAGGAGAGAATATTTTAAATAATGCAATATAGTAGATTGTATCTAAATCTTCTATCAGTTGGTCCCGTATAGCCTGTTTTACATGCCTGAAATTTTTAATTGCTGTGGCTAGGACAGATTAGTCACATAATGTTTTAAAAAATCCTGCAAGTATATTTATGTGGATGTAGAAATATCAGTGCAGATCCTGTAAATATACTTAGGATATAGTACTTATTTTATATATGTTTTATGGACAGCATTACTATTTTGAATTTATGTCATATATTTTTATATAGTGAAGTATATTTGATTTTCTGTGTTGCCATTCTATTCAGTCCTTACATTATCGGTATGGTAGCTAGCGTAATACTGTCTCTTCCATCATATCTGTTTGCACAATCCATCACGATTTACAAAATCAACTAAATTCTTGAAGTGAGTTTTTATTGGTCGGTTACCAGGGAGTTAAAAGTATAGGAAGAACAAAGTAATGCAGAAATTTATCACAAAAATAACATTCTTTCATTTGCAGAGTTTAAGTGGAAATTGTATGTATGCTGAAGTTAGTGCTAATTTTACATATTTATTTATTAAACATATTTGTATGCAGCTGCAATCGAAAATTACTCTTGGCAGCTTCCATAAAAATAAAAATAAAGCAACCCCGTACAGAAATAAAAATACAACAGCACTAGAAGAATAGGAAGAAAATAAAAGATGGCAACAACAACTCCAATCAGGGGAAGACTGTCTGAAAAATCCTGGTTTGAGGAGCTTGTGGCAAACCAGCAGAGGGAGTCAACCTCATCTCCAGAGGGAGGGGCTATGGCACAATGTCAGCATTGCAACAGAAAAACAGCGCCTCCTTGCCTCAGTCTCCCAAAAGTGTAGGATTTGCAGCAGTTTCTCCCAGCTAGATATCATTGGTCAGTCTGAAGTTGGCTGGAGAAAGTGGTCCTGAATGTATTTGGGTGCCAGGCCATGTAGGGCTTTATAGGTCAAAACCAGCACCTTACAGTGGACTTAGAAAGTAATATGGATGGACACTCACATAGCTGAAATGGAACAAGTAAGAATTGTGAGGGAGGTAATTCAGTTGATAGGAAGATTTGAATCTCTTTTGCTACTGCTGAGACAGTCTGCTTGGCTAGTGTATATATCTACCTAAGTCACGCAATATAATTTTTCTTGGTCTTCTTCACATTAGAAGTGGTAGTTGATTCCAGCCCCAGGAAACTATAATGGGTTTGCATTGGCAGTTGAATGTACTGGTCTGCTGTGATTCTCTTCCACTGTTCAAGTCTTGGGCCTATTGCGATGATGCACCCTTCAGCCAGAATCAGAGCTCCATGCTGATTGCTCAAGGGCAGGGACTCCCAGTTGCACAGCAAGTAGCAGGTCATCTCTGGGCCATCTTTTCTGTTTGTCAGTCACTGTACTTGTTTTCTCCCACCCACTAAAGAGATAAATAGGAAGTTGAACATTTGAGTATTTCATTGTCATATGGACAGAAGAGAAAAAAAGGAAAGGGAACTTACTCCCCTCAGTTGGAGATGCAGATTTTGTTTGACTGCCATCTACATTTTGGTCCCTTTTGTCCTCTGCTGGGATAACATTAAGTCTGAACTGTGATACCTGTTTCTAAATATGACCTCCTTACCAGGAGGGAATGGGACAATAATATTGGAAACATGCTCTTAATCATATAGAAACCAGTCACCAGTCACTTATACACATGGAGAGAAAGAGAAGCTGGGATACCTTAACTCAGAGGACCCCCACTCGTTCTCCTCAGTGTTGATCACTGCAGCAATAACATCTCAGGAAGGTTTCTGTGTTTGCTCTCTCACCCCATGCCATATATTACTCTTCTGTTCTTATTTTACCCTGTAATGCCCTTTCGTTCTGTCTTCTTCATTCTCTTCCATCCTATTTTGCATTTACATTTTCTTTAGAGTTATTTCTTCATTGGTGCGTGTCCAGTTGCCAGTTTTAGTTGTATTGCCCTGAAGTGGCTGTTTTGGAAATGTATGGAATGTGTAGTAGACCTCTTCCCATAGGTGCCTTCCTAGTTTGTTTAAAAGAGGAGCATATAGTAAAACATTACCTTTTTTCCTACTGTTTATGAATTGGATTGTGAGAAAAGACCTGATATAATTAAATTATGCCTTCAGCTTTGATTTTATGCATCTGCAGTGGCTCAGTAAGTGAAGGAGCTATATGCTCTGCCAGAGCAAATTTGACACCAGACTTGACTTTCATCCCAAGGCAAGATCTAGTGCCTGATTCTGTGGCTCCAGCTCATTCTGGACCACAGTATACTGTTTCTTCTGATTTTAGACAACTTAATACCAAACCAAGCACAAAAAACTCTCTTAAGTGCCTGGTGGATAGCATAAGTCAAATTCAAAAGTAAATGAAAAGGACAAAAACATCACCATTCCTAGCACCCCCACTGCAACCCCAAGAGGAAGAAGATAGTACAGCTCCTTGTCAAAACCCAGTTAGTTACCTCTGCACTGAAGTCTGCACAGTAGTTTCCAGAGAATTGTCATAGCACAGATACTTACACTGAGCATATGCGCTGCATGACAGAAAATCTTAAGAGTTAAAGAGAGCAGCATTTAGAAAATTATTTTTGATGTGGTGCAGTTGGATCCCCTTCTTCCTGTGGCAATATACATATTGCTAGTATTTATATCTAAAAACTGCTCAAGACTGCTGAAACAAATTTATCTAAAAACTGCTCAAGACTTCTGGAACAAATTGTCCTCCATGCCACTGATACCTGAGCACTCATAGGAATTTTATTGTCCCCTGAGGATCAAAAGGATAAAAATGGGATGGTTTTGGCAGGAAAATTTCCTCCTTTGGAGAACATTCTGATGGCAAATTATCAGGTTTGCTAGTCAGGTAACAAGTCTTGTAGGTTAACGGTCTCATTTTTACCCTCATTTCTTAAAAAATAGAAGTAGTTAGATGTTATTAATTATGTACTCCAAGTAACTAATTAAATGCTTAATATATCATCTGAGACAGGATCAGTTTTCAAAGCAGCCATGGTATCATGTAAAACGACAAGTCTGAACAGTTTGAAAAGAGGTGCTTTGTATGTGCTCCAATTTGTTCAGAAGAACCCTTTTAAAGGGGCAATACAGTTCCATATATTGACTTGGGATCAAAAGTTATGATGCTATTCTGTTACTTTGCTCTATCACATGTGATTCTTGTCTTCCCCTGAGTCTAAGGCTAGGATCAAGGGCTTACAATTTGAAGGTGAGTCTCATTAGCTTGCAGACCAATGTCACTTTAGATGGAGTACAGAAACTATACAACATACTTGCTGTATTGATTAGAATACATCACGGTGTCTATACTGGCAATCAAGATCATGCTTTTAGAAACTGGAAAACTTTCCAGCTCCTCTCTTCTGCCACATTAATAGCAAGAAACTAGGCCAAAGGAATTCTTCTTGTCAGTGCCTTCCAAACACGTTTTTGACTGTCAGTTTTCCCAAGATAACTTTTGCAACTTTCAGCCTTCAGAAATCTCTGATTCTTTCTCCCACTAGTTTCATTTTCATATTACTATGGATGGCTGGGTTTTGTCCATAACTGAAAGTATCTTTCTTCCAGAGATCATCACTGCAAAAAGAAGCAGTAGAGACAGTACCACAAGGCAAACCAAGATGGTTTCTTTGAAAGATATTTAATCAGCCTGAGTAGGACTGGCTGACTAATCCCATTTAAGATCCATTAACCACTATATTCATGCTAATAGATTAACATATGTTTGCAATCTCTAACGTATTTTCTCTGAAAATGTTTTTCAACAAATTTCTGGTAAATGGTTCATTTTTATTTCATGTATCAGTTAGGTCTGAATCATTTTAGAGCATTGGACACATTGCAGAATAAATTAATATCGACTAAATATAATTTTAATAACAGTTTTAGTTTGTATACTACCGTCAGAAACATTAAATTTCTGCCCATAAGGAATATATATAGTAGAATCCTTGGAAATAACAAGAGTGTCTAGTACATATGAAAGTGAGGCCCTCTAGTGACCATTTAGTTAAGAGCACACATTTCACTGCAGTTGATCTTTGGTTGTGTTTAAATACTTTTAACGTAACTGAAATCCTACAGAATGTCTGTGTGCCCAAAGAAACAGAGATGATATTAGAAATTAAGGCATGCTACTGTTCTCATGTTCTTCAGTTCTACAATGACACACATTGATAGTCATCCCTTAAGATTAATTCAGAAAAATATTTGGGAGAATAGAAATTTACAGTCTTCTGATGGGACAATACATGTTTGATTTGTCCTTATTTGTGATTTTAAAGGCTAGGGGATGAGCTCGGCTAAGGGATCACACTCAGCTCACCCCACAAGGTTTTTTCTACAACAAGCTTTGGTTCAGTCCCGAATGGATTTTTTT